TTATAGATTTTATCTTGCACTGTTTTTTTTTAAATCTTTTGCCTTCTCATTCAATGAATTATTTTTTCTCGACAAAGCCAACCAATCACTCATTTTCTTGAATAGCTAATAGCAGAATTGTTACAATTGTTGCATTTATGCTAATTTTCTAAATTTCATTTTAACCTTTTATAGCATATTTTATTGAAAAGAAAAAGGTTCTTTTATGAACCAACTAGATGTTAACATTAAATGTTTCATTTGGTAACTATTTGATTTTTGGTTCAAAATTCGAATTGTGTATTAATCACAATGTCGAAAGTTCGTAAATGTTTTGCTCACATTTCACAGATATTTCCGAAACTGTTTCTCCTTTTACCCTAAAAAGCTGGCAAAAACCAAGGAATGTATGAAAATCGTGTTAAATGATGAACTTGGAACAGAAATTTTTATTAATTATATTTGTTTATTAGTAAGAAGGAAAACGAAACCTTGTATTTTTGCACTGTACAGGTTTCAAGTTGGGCAACCAGATGACCAAAATTTTAAAATTAATATTAAGTGAATAAGATATCATTTCCAAGGTAAAAAACTGAAGATTTAGAAATAATGAGTTTATCTTAATATCAGTTTTCATTAAGTTACAGACTATTAAATGAAGGGCAACATCATTTGAAATTTTTAACTGTGGTAAGTGAATCTCTGAGAAAATGCAGTCTTTTTTTAAAAAAAATTCACACTAATAGTGGAAAATGGACGAAATAATAATTAAAATGAACTGCAATAAATCAGGTTATTAACAGGCACAAATGTGTAGAAACATTTCGCACTTTGATTTACAAAAAAATTCTCATGTACTTGTGATATTTTACATGCGATACCAAGATACATAATTAATCATACTGTGCAACTAAGATTTAACAAAATTAATTTATTTTCCTATTTACAGCAAGTTTTTGATAATAATAAGTATTTTTATTGTAAATTAATAATAATTTTTTTTTGCATCAGACACCACTGCTTTTCTTTTTATTACATTTGTTAATTATTTATTTCTCCTTCTTATTTTTATTTTTCTTTATAAAATGAAAATGAATAGAAACCACCTAAATATTCCTTTAGGTTAATTTACAATAATCAGGGATGAGATTCTTCCGCGGATTCGCGGATTTCCGCTTTTTNCAATAATGTATTTCACCTCAGTAACCTAATAAAATTTGTTTAACTATGCTGTGCTTTAAGTTATCATATAAATAACTTGAAATTGATCAATGAAGTTTATATATATATATATATATATTTTAATTTAATTTGTTTATTTATTCGAGGTATGCAACTCAGTTTTAATTTTTTGAGAAATAATTTTACTTTATTTAGGACATTTTGAATCAATCATTTTACTTAGAACTTGAAAAATGTATGTATTTAAAGAAAAAAATTCAGAAGATTTTGTAGTTATTTATTAATTTTTTGAGTGAAGAAAATTTTTTTAGAAGAAATGATAAATCTACTTGCATAGCAAACTACAAGAATAACACACATCCTTTTCAATTATTAGGTAATTGGAATAAAAATTGTTAGTAATTATTGGGCCTGTAATTGGCAAATGAAACTGGAGAGAGAGTATTAAAAAAGGATAAAAATTTATTCTAGAATTCATATAAAAAATTTTTTTCGTAAACTTGGTTCATCTCTAATGCTACAACCCTGGGACATATCTTGCACACTTAAAATTAGAGATTTTTCAACTGACTTTTACAAGATGGAAAATTGTATAATACACATTGATCCATCCATTCCAACAGGAAATAAAAGGCAATTTAAAATTTTTTTGGGGTCACTGTATTTGCTATTTAGTACATTTTGAGCAAAAACTAACACTTTAAAACATTTTTTATTCACTAAAAGTAATATGTTCTACAAGCTAAACATATTATTTTCTTCACATCTATTTAAGATGATATATTTAAAAAAAAATAATATTTTAAATAAAATACTTTATTATATTGACACTTTTCTTGTACTCACCTGCACTTTATGAGAAAAGAAAACACACTGACCTGAAAGTTTTAAGATTCTTACTGGAAAACCTGGAAAAATCAGGGAAATTTTAAACCTGATTTGAGTGGCCACCCTAATAAAAAATTTTAGCACATTATCAAAAAGTTCAAGTTCTGGTTTTACTTACTTCAAAATAATTTAACAAAAAAACTTTATTTATTTTTTAAATATATTTCGATAAATTTTATTCTTTGCACTATATGCCATAAGCTGAATTGGTATTTTTAAAACATTATTTTTTTTAAAACACAGTTCTATCCTATTTTTTTAACTGTGTATGTTTTTTCCCTTAACAGGTTGATGCTATGAAAAAAACAGAAAGAGGAACAAGAAATGGAATTAGAGGTTTGTTGCTAAAAATTTAAACTGATTTTGTCAAATATTTAGTCTCTTAAAGATTAATTAAATGATATTATTTCAATATATTGATAATAAATTTAAAGTATGTTATTGTTTAAACAATCAAATTTATGCTTATTTAGATACAAAAAAAAGGAACTGAATGAAAAGCGGGTAGAATTGAATGAGTTAAGGAAAGAAAAGTCCCAAATGGAAAGCAAACTCAATTCAAGCAAAACTCAACTTGATGTATTGACTTCTTGTTTTACAAAGTAGCACCCTTCAGGTAAGCCGAGTAAATAATTTTTTGTTATTTAATATTGTTTATTAAATTTTAGCTTATTTTTAAAAACACGTGTAATTAAAAAATACAAATAATCCACTATAATGTGATAACAATAGTAAATTAAAAACAATACATGAAAACACAAATGCATCATTCTCGCTCAATCTAATATTTTCTCCATTTCATTTTGCTTATTTGGTTCGAAGAATGAGTTAGACGCACTGAAATTTATCCACTGTAAAAACCACAATAAATCCTTTATAATTGTCTCTACTTATTTGTTAGTTATTTATTTATTTTTTAAAATAAATTTAAAGCTCATTTCAAAATTTGCTTTTTATGGAGAAGAAAAAGATGCAAACACAGCCTTATTTTATCCTTTTTCAATTTACTTTTTTTTTTCAAAATAAATTTCAAGCTTATGTAAGCAATTTAATTTTTTGCATATTTGATAAACTGATAATTCACGAAACTTGTACTTATTATCTATTCCTACGCTACGATTTTCAATTATATCCTCTGCTGCATTATTATGTTTTTGAAAATTGAGCTTTGAGCTACTTGTTGAAAAAACTTGGAAGCTTAAAATATTTACAACTTAATACGTCTTAGTAGGTTTTTTGTTGAAAACAATTACAGTTGCCTTGTTTGTGTATTTTTGTCCCGATTAAAATTAAAATTGATCAAATACAAGACTAAATGCAATACAGCACAGGTTAATGAGTGAAGCTATCAAGGTAATGGATAAGCAATTTAATTTTTGTCTGTCTGTGATAATTCACTAAAATTCACTAAAATTGTAATTCACTAAAATTGTAGTGATAATTCACTAAAATTGTAATTATTATACTCCTTGGCTACACTTTTCAATTTGCTGCATTTGTAAGTTTTTGAAAATTAACTACTTAATGATAAACTTGATATCTTAAAATACTTAATTTGATTGTAGATTTTTTTGTGGAGGGCAATTACTTAACTTCCCTTGTTTATTTTATTTTCTTCTAGATTATGTGATAACAATAGTAAATTAAAAATAATGTATGAAATCACAGATGCATCATTCTCACTTAATCTAACACATATATTTCCTCCATTTCATTTTTCTTATTTGGTTCGAAGATTGAATTTGAGGCATTGAAATTAATATGTGATTTCTGTAAGAAGATTAATATGTGATCCCTGATTAATCCTGATGATCCCTGATGAAATTAATATGTGATCCCTGTAAGAAACAGAAATCTTTTTTGCTTGTCTCTACTTATTTGTTATTTATTTTTTTAAATGAATTTCAAGCTCATTTTACAATTTGCTTTTTATGGAGGGAAAAAAAGATGTAAACACAGCCTTATTTCGTCCTTTTTCTATTTAATTTTTTTTTAAAAAATAAATTTCAAGCTTATGTAAGCAATTAAATTTTTTGTACATTTGCTAAAGTGATAAATCACGAAAATTGTACTTATCATATTCCTACGTTATGCTTTTCAATTATATCCTCTGCTGCATTATTATGTTCTTGTAAATTGAGCTTTGAGTTACTTGTTAAATAAAACTTGGGAGTTTAAAATATTTACAACTTAATTCGTCTTAGTAGATTGTTTGTTGAAAACAATTACAGTTGCCTTGTTTGTGTATTTTAAAATTGATCAAATACAAGACTAAATACAATACAGCACAGGTTAATGAGTGAAGCTATCAAGGATATGGATAAGCAATTTAATTTTTGTCTGTCTGTTGAAGTGATAATTCCCTAAAATTGTAGTTATTATACTCCTTGGCTACACTTTTTAATTATATCCGTTTGCTGCATTTGTAAGTTTTTGAAAATTAACTACTTAATGATAAACTTGATATCTTAAAATACTTAATTTGATTGTAGATTTTTTTGTGGAGGGCAATTACTTAACTTTCCTTGTTTATTTTATTTTCTTCTAGATTAAAATTAAAATGGACCAAATTCTACACCTAATGATGACATAGCCTGTATTTCACCAACATGTAAGTATGCATTTAGTTTTGTATCACTTAGAAAAATTTATTTTGTTTATCTTTTATTCACATAAAGGTCCATGTAAGTCTTAATTATTGTAATCTGTTAACATATATAAAAGAAATTCTAATTGCAACTTATTTCATATATTAAATACATTGCTTACATTTCTGTTCTAATTTTATATATAATTTTTAAAAATAATTAGGAAACATCTAAGTGTTAAAGACAATTCCTTTTTTTTACAAGATTGCAAATTTCTGGTATGTTGAGAGTATATGTCGTTTGCGGAAAAAGAAACCTAAGATAAAAGCTTTTGAAATTTAAAAAGCATAAAAAAATATCAAGTCTCCAAAATTTTCCATTCAAACCGTTCAAGAGTGGGACACTGCTAACTTATTGATTCCAATGCATATGATGTCCGTGAATCTTAAAATTTCTAGCTTTATGGTATATTTAAAACAAACATTTTCATCATGTTTTATTTTTTAAAATACTCTTGAAAAAAATATGTTGATTTTTTTAAAAAATTTTTTTCATGTTTTTTTCTGGTTATAAGTATTGTTTTTTTAAAAGAAAACTTTAATATGTAAGAAAAATATTATGAAAGAAATGAATATCTATTAATGTCCATCAATTAATGTCCATCTTTACTACTGGTGTATAAATAGAGCCCCTGATTTTTGTAAAATTTTAGGGGTTCAAAAATTCGATATATACAATTTGATATATGGTATTTTAATTATTCTACTCTTGTGTGTTTCTTTAAAAGACAACACCTTAGAGCGTCCCTTTTATTAATAAGTACTGGTCTCATGACTTAGACCTAGTCATATTTAGTTAGTTTTGATGATTGTTACATTTGTGTTTGGTGCAGCATGACCAATTCTAATTCTTCTGTCATTAAGTTTTACATATATTGTAATCCATAAAAAAATGGTTGGTATTATCGCCTATATGGGCTTTTATTTTATTTTAAAAAATTTTTAATTTTTATTTTCTCCTTTATTGAATGCATTGTATCATATTTCATACATTCAATGCTTTGTGTTACTTTCATAAGTAAGGGGAAAATTTTCTTGTGGAGTATGATTAAAAATATACACTAAGTGCAAGAGCAGAAAAAAAAATTCCATACTTTTTAATTATTAAAATTCTTTTATGAGTCTGGACTTTTCAACTTTATTCGATGTTCAATCTTTTTTTCATATTCAAAAGGTAGTGTTCAAGTGTTTACTGTAATCAACTTGAAGAAAATAGTAAATGAACTATGAAGTATTCGATATAATCACTTTACTATTCCACAAATGTGCAAGAAGTGCCTGACTGCATCAGAGATGTATAAAAAATGTGTTTTGTTTCAAAAAGTTAGTTTTCAGTTCATACATCATTTAATCCCTCTTCTAGAAACAAAAATGGTTTATATTTCTCAGAAAATATTTGTTTATACAATGATATTTATTAAATTTTTATTATTGTTGTTTTTTGTTATTGAATTGGCAGATATTAAATTAGTTGGATTATACAAAGTCTTTTTTTTTAGAGTATAGAAGTTTTGACATCAGCGATTTACCTAAGTGTTTTTAATTTTGCGTTAAAAAGCAAGTTGTTTTGTGTACTTATACTGCAACTTATAATGTCTTTCAGTACTTGGAACATTAAGTAACACATTAAAGTACTTAGTTAAAGATTGTGATCCAAATAGTGGAGAACAAGATGATGAAGAAGGCTATGAAGATGAATATGTAGTGAGTATTCTTATTTATCTTAAAATGATGGCTCAAGGAATGACTCTATAACAGTTGTGTACATTCCTTTTTGCTGCAATGATGGTGTGTGTATGAATTTTCTATGGAGTGCCTGAACAATATATATCTATGCACATAAGTTAAAAATGAACAGAAAATATGGAAAATATTAAAGATTAATGAAAAGTAAAAATGAAAAAATAATGGAATAAATTAAAAATTTTTTCTTTTAATCTAAATTTTAAAGGAATGAATTGGTTACGAGTCTTTTTAATATTGGATGAGCTATTTGTTTCGAATCTCGCTCCTAATTTTACTGATTTTTTGAAGAAAAAATAATGAATAAAGATATCGCTTCATCAGCTCACACGATTATGTCCGCAAAAATAGCAAATAGCCTCCTTTTTTAGGATATAATTGTGTGAGCTGATGAAGAAACTATATCCTTTTTGTTTTCCGGCTTTTAAATATATATATATATATGTATTTTTAAATATTTTATTGTAATAATTTCTCCTCTTCTCTTTTCATCAATCTTTAATATTTTCCCTGTTTTCTCTATATTTTGAACTTATTTTATGAGTTCTATATAATTGCAGCTTATGCGCAGCAAATAAAACTTATTAGTTTTCTTAATTTCCTTCGTTTTTTTTTCTTTCTTTTTATCATTTTGTCTTTATTGGGCTATTTATACATATGTATAGATGTTTAAAAGATAAAAATGCGAAGAAAAATATGTTTTAAGAAAGAAAACATAATTAAATAAATTGTAGAAAGAAATTAAAAGCCAGAAAATAAAATAATGAAAAGATATAATTTTGTCATCTGCTCACATGATTATATCAGTAAATGACAGTATTTTATTGTATTAATATAGCCAAAGCAAAACAAACTTTTTTTGTCTTGTTATTGTAATTCATCTCCAAGTAGAATTTATCGTCAGTTGAAATTTTGACAATTGATTAAACTAGATGTGGTGCGGGGGTGATTGTCATCTAGATATACTCCAGATTTCAGGGTTTTTCGTATCATCCCTCCATGTCTAAACACTAGGAGCAGGACATGTGATTTTTTCAAGGAATTTTCGCATATCTGAAACCCATTGACTTTGAGAAACGTGTATTGGCCATAAGTTTTCCTGGTGGGAGTGCTAGTTTTGTTATAAGTTTTGTTAAAGTAGCGTATGCTCTAACAATTTTGTGAAGTGAGCCTATGTTTTGAGGCGAAATTTCATTCTAGATTAAAAGTTTGTGAAAGCTTGTTTTAGCCATGTTTTTTCCTGGGTGGGATATGACATCCGTCGTTGAACAGCCAACCCAATTTTAAGTTTAAGACTACTAATGCTCAACTCTGTAGCCTTGTAATTTTGAACCAATCCAGAAGAAAGGGACACTCTTGGACCAGTACCCCCAGAGGTATTGAATTGTTATGGGAACATGGAGGATTTTGTGACTTGACAGATTTAACGTGCGTCAGTCACCATTTACTACATGGGGAGTTTTCGGCCGGTGGGGATTGAACCCGTGACCTTTTGGACATGGACACAGTGCCCTACCAACCAGGTTATCCCGGCTAGGTGGGATATTGAAATTTTTTGTTGTGCCAACAATTTTCTACAATTTTGGGCAGCATTTTATAGTTTTTATGTAGTAAATTAGCTAAAACTTATTTTGGCCATAATTTTTTTATATTTTTGGTTGGGCTAACAAGATTGTTAGGATAACTATTTCCTACAATGGATGGATGTTTGAAAGCATTATTCCAAAATTTTAAAGCAAAAGTTATCTTACTCTTATTTTTTCCATAACCTAATTTTGGTTGATGGGATAATGAAAATTTCCGTTGGGATGACAATTTTGTTCAATGAGGTAATTTCTGGAGGTGAAATTAAAACTTGCGTTTTCTAGGTGAAAATTAAAGTAAATTTTGCGTTGATTGTTCTAAGAGTCCTGCAGTGGACTGATCGTAAGGACTTGGTTCCCAGTAGAACACCGAAGTCAAGCGTCACTGGCTGCGGTCAGTAAGTGGGTGGTTGACCACTTTAATCAGTCTGCGTAGGGACCGAGGGTGTGCGGTATTGGTACTCGTTAAACTGTTCTAACGTAAAGTGCTCGACTTTGCGTGCAGGTCGTTGGGCAACTGAAGCGGGGGTGCCATCTCCTCTGCAGAGTTAATATTTTCCCTGTTTTCTCTATATTTTAAACTTATTTTATGAGTTCTATATAATTGCAGCTTATGCGCAGCAAATAAAACTTATTAGTTTTCTTAATTTCCTTCCTTTTTTTCTTTTCTTTATTTTTATCATTTTGTCTTTATTGGGCTATTTATACATATGTATAGATGTTTAAAAGATAAAAATGCGAAGAAAAATATGTTTTAAGAAAGAAAACATAATTAAATAAATTTTAAAAAGAAATTAAAAGCCAGAAAATAAAATAATGAAAAGATATAATTTTGTCATCAGCTCACATGATTATATCCGTAAATGACAGTATTTTATTGTATTAATATAGCCAAAGCAAAACAAAACTTTTTTGTAGAATTACCAAGTAGAATTTATCGTCAGTTGAAATTTTGACAATTGATTAAACTAGATGAGGTATTGTCATCTAGATATACTCCAGATTTCAGGGTTTTTCGTATCATCCCTCCAGGTCTAAACACTAGGAGCAGGACATGTGATTTTTTCAGGGAATTTTCGCATATCTGAAACCCATTGATTTTGAGAAACTTGTATTGGCCATAAGTTTTCCTGGTGGGAGTGCTAGTTTTGTTATAAGTTTTGTTAAAGCAGCGTATTCTCTAACAATTTTGTGAAGTGAGCCTATGTTTTGAGGCGAAATTTCTTTCTAGATTAAAAGTTTGTAAAAGATTGTTTTATCCATGTTTTTTCCTGGGTGGGATATGACATCCGTCGTTGAACAGCCAATCCAATTTTAAGTTTAAGACTATACTAATGTTCAACTCTGTAGCCTTGTAATTTTGAACCAATCCAGAAGAAAGGGACACTCTTGGACCAGTACCCCCAGAGGTTTTGAATTGTTATGGGAACATGGAGGATTTTGTGACTTGACAGATTTAACGTGCGTCAGTCACCATTTACTACATGGGGAGTTTTCGACCGGTGGGGATTGAACCCACGACCTTTTGGACATGGACCCAGTGCCCTACCAACCAGGTTATCCCGGCTAGGTGGGATATTGAAATTTCTTGTTGTGCCAACAATTTTCTACAATTTTGGGCAACATTTCATAGTTTTTATGTAGTAAATTAGTTAAAACTTATTTTGGCTATAATTTTTTTATATTTTTGGTTGAACTAACGAGACTGTTAGGATAACTATTTCCTACAATGGATGGATATTTGAAAGCATTATTCCAAAATTTTAAAGCAAAAGTTATCTTACTCTTATTTTTTCTATAAACTAATTTTGGTTGATGGGATAATGAAAATTTCCTTTGAGATGACAATTTTGTTCAATGAGGTAATTTCTGGAGGTGAAATTAAAGCTTGCGTTTTCTAGGTGAAAATTAAGGTAATTTTGCGTTGATTGTTCTTAGAGTCCTGCAGTGGACTGATCGTAAGGACTTGGTTCCCAGTAGAACACCGAAGTCAAGCATCACTGGCTGCGGTCAGTAAGTGGGTGGTGGACCACTTTAATCAGTCTGCGTAGGGACCGAGGGTGTGCGGTATTGGTACTCGTTAAACTGTTCTAACGTAAAGTGCTCGACTTTGCGTGCAGGTCGTTGGGCAACTGAAGCGGGGGTGCCATCTCCTCTGCAGAGGATCAAAATTGTGATAGCTTGTCTTCGGATCATCCTCGGAAATGTTTCCCAGACCGTCGCCTATAGCCCATTGGCAGCTCTAGTGTGACGTAAATTAACTAAATTCTGCGTCTTACAAAAAACAAATTATGACAATCAACACTTATAAAAAATTGTAACGATGAAGAGAGAAAAAACTATCATAGTTTTCCCTAAATATTAAGTAAATTAAATTAATAGAAATTATTAAATGGCTGGAAAAAAGTAAGAAGAATATACAAATACTTTACTTAATTTTCGTCTACATTTATTAAGCATTTTTGAGCAAATTATCAACGTTTCACGTTAGCTTATATAACATGCTAAAAAACAGTACGATTAAAACACGAGTACGATTAAAACAGTACGACAGTACGAAGTAAAGAATTAAAAAAAAAAGAAAAAAAAAACAATTCTAAGAATCTCAGTTTTTCATATTACCACAATTTCAGGAAAAACTAGCCATAAAAGATTAAAATTGTAGTAGAAACAGTTAAAAAAACAGCGTCAGCAATATAAACAGACATAATAAAAAAATTAAGGAAAAAGAAAAAATGGAAAAAAATAATTCTTAATTCTTAAAACAAAACTTAAAAGTAAAAATTTTTAGAAAAAAGCGATGATAGAAAAAGTTTATCAAAAATAAGACCTAGAAAATGCGCTTGAATAAAATCGCCGTTGAAAGTAGTAATTTAGAATTTAATTCTAATAAAAAAAATTTATAATTCTGTAAAGAAACCTTAATCACTGTAAATCTCGCTTTTTCGTATTGCCGCAAGTGGGGAGGATTAAAAAAAAAATAGTTTTATTCGTCATTAAATTTTTTTTATGTAATCTTGTAACGTTTACGAATGAAGTTGATAGAGCGTTGAACTAGGGCTCGAAATACCGCCCGTCCTCGGCGGTCAAAAATTCCCAGCGGACAACGAATTACTCGAATCCGACGTCCGCGTGGACGGCCATTTTCCCGTTAATGTTCGTGACACATTTTCAAATTTTATTATCTTGGAAGAGTCTAGCGCCTCACTTCTAAAATAACCCTCTAATCTAGAAATCCCGTTAATTCCTTGGTCAGACCAAATGCTCATGCTAACGTAATCGGTAAACAAGAGAAAAGTTGCTTGTGATTGTGCATTTGTACTTCTAACGATGAGCTTACAAAAAAACACAATACGTACTGGTCTTAAGCAAAAAGCGTTAAACGCAATCATGAATGTCTACCTAAATGGAAAACCGATTTCAGATTTCTGTGCAGAAACCCCTGTAAATCATTGGAGAGTAATAAATAAGAGAAAATTATATTTTCATTTATTTAGAAGCTACGGGTTAGTTTCAAAGGAGGACGGGTACATTGGGCAAGCCGTCCTCGGGGACGGGTAAA